TGCACCTAACGTGTGATCCAGATACATAACTTATGCAAAGTACTTGTGTTGCTGTTTAAGTAAGAGAAAGTAAGTATTTGGCTAATTGAATAACAAAACTTTTCTGAACTCTATACATATAAAGAAAAATTATATTTGCGTTGAATGGAAATTGATGAAGTTGTGGATATTGGGTCAACAGGCAAGCATTTGAATAAAAAAATCATTATTTCAAAGAACTAATTAAAATAAATTACTATTTACTAGTCGCTTTTAAACGTTTGGCATGTCGCCGTTTTTTTTTTCAAAACCAAAATTGGTGATTGATATAATTTGAAACCGTTCTAAAACTGAAAACATCCAAGTGCATTCATAAACACACACTTCCAAGTATCGGAAAGACTAATTAAAGCCTTAGCGGGTGGATAAAACATCAAAAGATGGACTATTTTGATAATGGAAAAACGTTTCGCTGTGATTGTCAGGCGATCAATTGCAAAAGAAAGTGAAGGAATATCCGAAGAAAGCAGAAATTACATCGGGAAGATTCGATCAAGCTATTTTGAAAGTCCAAGGGGAGATTGATGTTAATTATTTTCCGCGTTATGGAACCGATCGAGTTCTGGTTAGAGTATCATGGCTACTAAAGATTTAAATACAATTTTTAAATATAAAGTGAGTACAAAGGAGGAAAATATACAATGAAAGTTCTATGAATCTGTAGTTCCAATGTGAATTTTAACCACAAAATTAATGCTTTCTATGTGAGAAAACACGATATAAGTACCATAAATATATCTACTAAATGACCAACTAAGCATCTATATTATAATCCTAATTATCTAACGCTAAATCAGAATTTGGTAAAGCACTCTCATATGCAACAAATACGTATTTTCTTTGAAGTTACTTTAAGTATTTGTGAGTTAGTGTTATATTTCTATTTTATTTTGTTTGGTGGAGTTCAGTTAATTGCAGTTTTCAATGACCAACAATTTAATTCAAACCATATTTTTTTATTTTTTGCACAAAAGCCGGCGTTCCAAATTAATAAAATGTTTTCCAAGAACATAAGATTCAAAACATTACAATTTAAAATGAATTGGAAATTATGAAAATTTAATATCCAGTGAAAATTTCCACTCTATCAGATTAGAAACCAAATTCTAGCATAATTCAATAAATTGAAGAGGAAACTACAGAAAAAAATCAAATTTTGCAGTTGTAAAATTGAGTAAAATAGATTATGAATGAATGAATGAATGTAACAATGCAAGAAAGTAACATGGCAATATGCCACCTTACTAACGTCCCGTAGTTTTACTTTAGAATAAAATGTTCATAAAGTAGTTTTAAATGTGTATTCTGATTTTCCAACATCGATTTTCCATACGACAGACCGTTATATCCATTATGCAAAACTTAGTCCTTACACGTAGGTATAAGTGATCTTTGAGAACTATCTAAAAATTCGAACTGCTGTCGATTCTCCTAAGACTGCAACTGTTCAATATTCACTGCGTTTTAAGATGTTTTTGCTTTGCCTGAGATAGGTGCTGAATAATACGAGGACATTAGAAACAGTGCATTATCTCAACAGGAATCGTGTGTGAGCAAACTACCAAGTGCAATTATAGGGAGCTTCTTCAGTTTGTACATATGTAAAACTTGAATATGTTCAAACCATCTGCAATCGCTCAAACTGCCTCAAGCAGTTCATTTTTGTCGCCAAAAAGCTACCCAAAAAATAATTTTCTGACATGTACTCAAACACTCTATAAATGAAAGCACCCGAAATTTTTACATATTGTTTTTATACTGGTACCACATGCATCAGCTACCCAACCGTGGAAGTGCCATTTTCTTCGGTTTGTCAGTCAGTTGAAGAATGAAGTAGGAACAATCATTATATTATATTCAGCGAAACTCGGTACCGGTTTCATCAAATTACAAGCTTTCTCAAAAAAATTACCTTTCCGGTTTTATCTGGGCTCATTTCTCTCTCAGGCATTTTCGTCTCGTAATACGTACACCGTAAAATGAAGCTCGGTGTAAAAGTAAAGGAGTCCCACGGGAACAGCCTTGTAACCTTTAAGGGATGGCAGAATGTGCATGGAAAGTACTTTAGGCGGAGTTGCACTTTTATCTGTCTAGTCATATTATGTAAATGTTTCTGATATTTCCGGTACAAAATATGCGATTCTTTTATAAGAACCATGGATTTTCATTTGCTTCGTTGGTGGTAAGGTTGAACACGAGATTGTTTTTACAAATTTTTCTGCATCCAAGTCAATTGAACAACTCGAACAACTTTTTTGCGTGCAACTTTTACTGGTTTTTAATTCGTTTGGTTGAGAGTTTTAGTGCGAGTTTTGAAAATATTGAGAAAATAGTCAAATCTAAACTCCACATTTTTTCGTAGTTGTTAAAATAAAACATGAGGAAATAGGCCAATAGTCTGCATTTCACTTATAAACACCTCTCGAGAAAAAATAGTTTCCAATTAAAATAAGAACATATTTAATACACTGAACGGTCTGGGTATGTATGTATTATATACCCTTGCGCCATAACTCACATTTCAGCCTCGAATAATCGCCTTAAGCCCTCAATAGGTCTTTATTATCCAGAACTAATTTCATATTTCCCAAAAGAGATCCGGGGCACAACAGTTGTGCACTTAAGGATAATTAATATACGTTAACCTTAATGCGAGCTCAGTTCATTCATTAGCCTAAAGTTAGTGCCAACTGTATTTCATATGGCACATTGGAGATTATTGGACATATTTCAGAGCAAACGTTGGATTATTAAATGTGGAGCTCCTTTTTAATTACTTTAGAGGGCGTTTGATTATTTTATATACATTTCTTAGTTGAATAATAAAAACATGACTTGGGTGAACTAACGGATTGTTGGGACTTACATAATAAGAGAGTTAAAATTTATTCTGCCAGAAATTATTAATTATTAAGCTAAATGAATTCCTCAAAATCCGACATCTGCTTTACCATTCCTCTTGTCTGTCTGAATTTTAATACTGTTAGCTAAAATTGCCCAAACACATTAACAGCAATTAACGAGTCAGGTGACTTAATTAGAAACATCGAATTGTTCGATAATTTAGCAAAACCTCAAATTGTTTGTCCCCATTTAAGCGGTTTTGTTCTTGTTCACTGTAGAATTAGTACGCCAAATGACACGGCATTTAATCGCAATGACGAGAGGAAATCAAATTATTGTATATTGGTTAAAAGTGTTTAGAAATATGTTTTTAATTTTATTTTCTATTATGTTTTTGTACAATTGTAGTTATTGTTTTTTTTTTCGATTAAATCTACACAAAAAATTGTCTTTGTGAAATATTATTATGAACTATCCCTCATCATAGTCTATTTCTTGGGCTAATCAAAGAAGTTTATTATTTAATGACTTAAATTCGTACTTATAAATTCAAATATCGAAGAAAATTTGAACAATGTTCTGAAAGTTAAAGAGTTTTGTCAATTAAGTTCAAGCAATGGTTTTACATATTGCAAATTTAATTTTAAAAATATTTAATAGTTTCTGGAAATGAATTCGAAAAAACAAATTGTAATCTTTGTAAAATATTTTTTTTACAAATACCAATATTGGAAGGAAAGTTGCTAAATTAATAAAAAATTAACCAGCTTCATGTGATGATTTCTTTATCCGATGGGAACACCGATCATCGAGCTCCCATTTCGATATCTGAGGTGTATGTTGCACAATTGGCAGTAAAGGACGACAGCGCAAGAATGATCAACCCGCACAAATCTCTGAGAATTTTCTAAATTATGAAAAAATAAACTAGGGTGCCAAAAGGAAAGAAATCACCAATAAGCTTTACGCAAAGCTTCTATTATCGACTGGTAAAGACTTAATCCCCATATCTTTCCCGTATTTTCGGAAATTATAAATAAAAAGACGAGAAAGAGAGCGAGTATAAGAATGGCAAAATCGCACTAACCTCATGAAAATTATTTAATTAATAAATTGACCCACGGGAACTAAATTTACAGTCAGCTTAAGCAGTAAGTGAAGCAAGAATGGACCAACCGCACAAATATTAGTAATCGTTCTAAATTAATAAACTATTAACAAATTGACCGAACGGAACTATATTTACCGTGAGTTTGAACTGAGGCTTCGTTTATCTACTTTCTTCGAAAACTAGCTTGTATGGTAGGAATTAAGCCTTAAATAGCGATGGTGAGAAGAAAAGAGAAGAAAGAAAATTTACTAAAAAGACAGAAATTTACAATGAACACTAAATGAAGCTTCTGCTGTAGAGTGTTAACAACAGTGACAATTATCGAAAAAAACCGCACAAACCTCGGCATTTTTCCTATAATAATTTTAAGAAATTATCGATTTTGCCAAAGAAAACTTCCTATAGAACTTTTAAGTTATTTTGTAAATCTAAGAAATACATGTACAAACTAGCTAAAATGCAACGCTTTAAAAGTATTTTTATTTAAATTTCATGGTAATTACTTTTCACTGGCCCACAGTTTCAGTTATTGAACTACGTCTGAATAGTAAAATTACATATTGAAAATTGATTTAATGTGTAACTTTTGATTAGTTCGCAATGCGCACTTTACGGCTTTACCAAAATGGAAATTTACAATGTTTCTCGGAATTTAATCTAAATGAATACAACCTGGCTTTCCGCTTTCTAAAAACTATTGAGTCGCAAAATGTATATTTTTTGGTTAAAAGTATCTGTTAAATTATGGTGTCTACGACAGACAATAAACAGCAACTATATCTGCAATGAACATATTGTCATAAACGCGAATACAACAAGCTTTGTTAACATTAACATTGAAAGCCTCGGTCCTAATACTTGGAGATATGATATACATTTTAATATATTTTTTGCCTTTCTACCGAAAAGCACACAAACGAATTACTGAAAAATATTAACAATACATTCTTAAAAATGTCGTCCCTAGCGTTTTCCGTTTATTATAGGTAATTAGATTTTTTTCCAGTGATGGATTATCGCACTTTGCCATTAAACACCTATCAGAAAACCACCAGTTGGAGTTAGTAAAAGCGCTAACGGATCTCCTGGGAAAAACATTTCCGGCTCAATTTGTGTTCCCAGCTCTAGGCCATGATGATCCACCCTTCGAAAAGCGCCTGGGTAAAATGTGGTCCAAATGGTTACCAACGGATTCAATAAAAACATTCGAAACTGGTAGGTTCGTTAGATAATTAAATTAAATTCAGTAAAATACATCAGCACTCTCAATATAAAATTGCGTTTTTTTGCAGCAGAAATAAGCAGGAGGATTTATAATGATGAGCAAAATCCAATAACAAATGACGAAATTAAATCCATTCCAGTTTAATAAAACAATTTGTTCAATTATTCATTTGCTAGCATAATGCCCTAATTCCATGACAGATTTATAAATCCTGTCAGACATGGGAAACTAATCGATGGGTATTTGCATTTATTTGTTCGTTTAAGAAAATTTTAAACACGCGAATGAAAGCACCATCGTTAATCATGATTTAATTGTCAAGTCTTTAAAAGGATTTTATGATTTTTGTTTTGAACCTCCTCTTTAGCCCGAATTACTGGAATATTAGGCTTATTTCCCGAGGCTACATTTGGACAGTGGACACTTGCTATATTGATCGGTTAATCTTACTGGAGTTAGTTTGGGATTAAAGTTGAAAAGATGGAAAAGGAACTCAAATATCTCAGTTTTATTATGCAAATTTTTCCTCTGGTTTTTATTTTATTTTATAATGCTAAGGATAAATTTATTGTTAGTAATATTTACTTCGCATATTCATTAATCTAATCACTGATATGGCGCTGTTAAGTAATTTTTTTTAAATTATTCTGTATCTCAATTAATCCCTCAATGTAAGAAATGTCAAGCGTTTGGACACACACAAAAATTTTGTGCGAAAGAGCCAAGATGCGTAAAATGTGCAGGCAAACACATAACAAGCGATTGCCGGAAACCTCAAAACCAAAAACTGAAATGTGTAAACTGTGGAGAAGAACACCCTGCCAACTATCGAGGATGTGCAGTCGCGAAAGAGTTACAAAAAATTAAGAACAAGAAAGCTATCAAAACCAGCCCAACAAATGTCATTAAAGAAAAAGTTGAACAACAAGAACAAAGGAGAAATGAAAGTCACAATCAGGATAAACCAACTTATGCCTCTGTAGCTGCGATAGGGACAAAGAAACCAACAAAGTCTCAGGGAAGTAATACTGACGACACATTACAGCTTATTTTAA